CGGAGCGCGGCGCGATGGTAAGCGCGGGGCTGCCCGGGCCTGCCCGCTCCGGGACCGGGCCCTTCCCGCTGCCCTGCCTCTCCGCGGCCCTGCACGGTCCCCGGCGGCACATCCTGGCCTGGGCGGTGCCCCCAGGGGTCGCTCACGCCATAGGCCGCGGCCCGCGGGAGCGGAGCCGCTCCGAGCCTTTGCTGGGAGTAGCGCGGTGCGGGTTTGCTTCAGGGGTTTAGTTACAAGAGAAAGACACGTTTTGTGTCTCTGCGGGGCATTATCAGCCGGTGTGAGGTCGGTCAGGTGTTGTGGGTGTCTCTCCGGGCATCCTGACGTCATTTTCGTGCCGCGTGACGTCGTGCATGTGGTGTATGACGTCATTATTGTGTTGCGTGACGTCATGCTTATAGAGCAGTGCGCTGAGTCGCGACATTGGCTGCTTTTCCGAGGTGTCAGCAGAGGCCCAGGTCCATTTACTCATGAAATCTATATGGGTCATATATAAAACTATATATTTGATGTAATATGAAAAATTTTTTATATATATATATGTCTGTGTGTGTATAGAGATATATTACCTTTATTTTACATTTATAAAAACTTATATGTCTGCAGCATACATAATTTTAAGAATACGTATGTAACATAACATATAAATACGTATTTTTAAATGTATTCATAGTTATATAAATAGCTAGAACATATAAATACAAAAAAAAACCCATGTAAGTACATATGGAATAGGCTATCAATATATATGAGTTTATTATGTGTATAACAAATACATGTGGCTATAAGGATGAATATATAGATATTTATAGGTGTATGCAAATGTGTAATTGAATATTTTAAAAATTATTTGTTATATATTACCAATATAGCTTTTTCTATAAACCACACATATAAAGAGTGTAGGTGTGTATAATATGTTTATGTATGTAAATATGTATATATAAATACAGGCACACACACACACATATATATATATATATGTGCGTGTGTGTGTATAAATAAATACCCACTTTATGCAGAGTTGGTCTAGAGGCACATTGCTATTTATTTTTTTGTTTCCTGCCCATTTTACCAGTCTCTGTGCAGGTAATATAAATGAAGGGTTTGCATTTCTGTCGTAGTTAAAGCTGAGCAGTGAGATATTTTTTCTTAGTCAAGGTTTATGCATTAAATATTTATGTATCAACAGTGTTTATATGACCAGAGCAGATACATGAATTTAAAATTAAAAGGAAAGCCAAAGGAATAACTGAGTTAACAGAAGTTTTGTAACTGAGTTAATGTAAGTTTTTTCTGTAGAAAATATATATTTGCTCCTAACTGCAGCACAGAGTATGTTTTAAGATAGGAATTTGTGACATTTTTCTAATAATCTGAACATGGTTTGGGTTGAAAGGGACCTTCAAAGATCACCTGGTCCCCCTTTCCCATGGGCATTGGCAGGTTGTCCATCACTGCATGGATGCTGTGCAATTTAATGGAATATTGCTGTATTTCCTGTATATTCACAGAAAAGATCAATAGCACTTGAAGTTTCTTACTGCTCAATTCAAAAAAAAGCTTCCTTGGCTCCAGATCTTGTCACCATCAGAAAATTGCTGGGAGTTGCTCACCTGAGCATTCCTTGGCAGATATTGAAGATGAACCTGCTCTAGTCTGGGGCTCCAAGCAGAAAACAAAGGAGTTTTTTTTTATGAGAGGCATAAATTATCTCAGTAGATTTAAAACACGTGTGCAGAAAGCAAAAGACCTTTAGTCAGCTCCATGGAAAGGTGAATAAAGAGAATTACAGCAGCACCTCACTCTTCTTTGTTGTACTTAAAAGGGTTTGGGGTGATAGAAAAAGGCAAGAGAACTTGGTGAGACATTGGTAATGCTCAGTGATGATTAAATACAACTAATTATTTAATATTATATTTTTATGTCATTTATATTTTAAATATTCTATAGCTCATGTGTAATAAAAATGTAACAGTAACTTAAAAGCGAAGTTACTGTTTAAATCAAAGAAGATTATGGCAAGTGAATGAGATTCTGTTAGGATTATCTTCTCCACTTGTGCCTGTTCCTTGCTAGAGGTTCCTTGTGCCTCAAGAACTCTGAAACAAGAAACTCTCCTAAGGATGGTTTGCTTATGATTTAATGCTGAAAATAAGGTGAAAATAAGTTTCTTCAGCATGATTGTGATGTTTGAATTTCTTCAAGAGAGCAGCAACCCTCCAGGACTTTAGGTCCTCCATGATAACACCTTTGGTGTCAAGGCATTTTAGGGGAAAAAAAAAAAAGATAATTTTTGAGCTCACATTTGAGTGTGAGAGAAGAAACAGTTGCTGTCTATGTGTCATGAAATGAAAGAGGTTAGAGCTACATCTCCAATTTATTCTCCTTGTCCAAAGAGTAAGAGCTGCAGCTCTGGCAGAGGAACAGCATTCTGAATAGCACCATTTTCTGAAGCAGGATTTCCAAAGGACTTCATCCCTTGGAAACTTTGCATCCCGTTGCTTTCCAGGCTTCCTTACCGTGTCCATCCTTGCTAAGCAGATGAAAACTTGTGCTGAGTGAATGGCCAGTTGCTGCCAAGCAGAAAAAAAAGTAAAATATATATATATATATATGTGTGTGTGTGTGTGTAAGCTGACATTTACCTGTATTTTCTTTTATGTGAAAGCAGAAATTGTGGTGTATTTTTTTTCCTCTTCACTGGCAGTGTATAGGAAAAAGACCCACCATTTTGACTTAAAGCAAAACCCTCACTATTTTAAATTAAGGCAGCTACAAAAGCCAGAAGCTTCTCAGTGGATTCCAAACTTGCTGGAAGTGATGCACAGCTCCTTCATTTATTTAGGAGCAGAATGTATATTGTTTGCAGACTTCCACAAATCAGTTTGTGTTGCCAGCTTTTGGGGTTTTTACATCTGAAAGCTTGACAGAAATTTTCCTCCTGGCCTTGAAAATCTTGCCACATGCATGGATGGAAAGAGGGAAGAAGCCAAAGGTAACATTAAAGTTAATTAACCTCCTGAAGGGTGGTCTACACTTTTCTTCATAGCAGAAATGTGAAGCTACACTCAGAGAAAATTTGGTGATGGAGAAAACTTAAAAGAAGTGCAGAAAACTTGACAAAAATGGCTTCTTCTGTGTCCCACTCTGGTTGGGACTGATCCTGGCCCCACATTACTACCCAAAAATTGATTTGGGAACTTTCCACCAGGACAAACATTTCTGTCACAGTCTTTGTTGCTCTCTTAGTGTGCTGTTTATAGAAGGAAGGGGAGTTGCTCATAGAGCAAATGTAAAAACATTCATTAGTAAATATTATTTCAAACCAAGCTGTCGGATATAAACATACCACAACCCAAGACACTGCTCTGGAAAAAAAAAAAAGCTTTCAGGAGTCTTCAAGTACAAAGTTTTATGTTTGTCTTATTCAAAATTACAAGGAGTCAATCCTGATTCAGACTGCTATCCAGCTTTGTTTTTATCTTTACCTAGAGGTGCATAGGTTTACAAACATCTCCTGGGTCATCTTATAGTGTCTTCATATTGTGAATTTATTTCACCTGAAGTGTTCAGTTTAGATACTTCTGTCATCTTAGAAAACAATGTGAAAATATATTGTCAGTGTTTAATCTTTGTGATTATTGAACTGAGGAAATTATTCTGTCAATGTAAGATGGTCTCTTTTTTGGAAAAGTAGGATGCAGTGAGTCTACTTGAACAGATTTACCCAGAATGACTCTGGTTGTGAGAAACCATTTCCTTGCTGAGTGCCATAAAAAAAGTGAATGTCACAATTTAATTTTTTGGTTGCCTGCAGCATTAGACACCACACACATTCATTGTAACAGATGCAGCATTGAATATGTTTCTCTGCTAAAGCACAGAGCTGGGCATTTAAACTGAACAAAAGTTTTTGATTTTCAGCCTTGTGACTGTGGAAACAGGGTGGGAACAGCTGTGAAAAATATTACCTGTCTTCCAGATGCTAAAAATTCAAACCATGCAGCTGAACCTCTGTCAAACAAGAGACTTGCATAGATAATGCGGACCTGCCCAGGACCATGGGACATGACAGACTTAGCAGAACCTGTCATTATTTCTTGACTAAGTATATTTTTTCCTGATACTTGTTTTCTATGCTTGATAAAGAGATGGTTTGACTATGAATGACAAAAAAACCCATACATTTGGTAAATAGTATACAATAAATATTTGCGGTTCTGTTTTGTAGTTCTTAGGTAAATTAGAATATATCTTTTTGAGAATTTACACTTTTTCCCATGGCCATGTTCACAATCCTGTAGCACCTTCTGTTACAAAGTCCTGATTTTTGCATGCTGCTTTTATTATAGGAAGGATATCACCTAATTCAAAGTGTGCTTTAGTATGACTCCACCTCTTCCATTCACACACAGAGGTTTTACTGGTTTTTCACTTTCAGGAGTGTATTTGTGGTGAGCTGAACAGTTTGGTGTGCAACTTCAGATGGAAGAGTTACTTAAAAAAAACGGGGGGTTATTTAAAGTACTTTAATCTAATGGGGGAAGACAGCAGAGGAAAAATATCTCTGTACAATTTAAAAAAGTATGATCTACAGAGAAGACCTGGGGGAAAGGGTGTTAAAAGCTTTTACTGTCGTATTCACTATAGTTCTGTTTGTTTAGTAAGTATGTGAACATGCGCACCTTTGTGTTACAGTGACCCTGGCAAAAGACTTTAATAGTCACTTTGTTTTTTACAGCAAGGTGTTTTGGTGAAATGCTGCCTCTGCTAGTTGTTTGCAGCAAAAGTTCAGTTTTGAAACTAGGTATTGGGGCAAAGAGGAAGGAATTCAAGCAAGTGTGAAATTTCAGCACCATTGCCTTGAGGTGTCTTTTCACTGCTGGTCTGTGGATTCGAATTACTGTAAAAATCCTAAATGTGTTTTTATAGGAGAGGGCAACTGTGTCCATATGTTTAATTAAGTGTTTGATTGTTTGAGGAGATTGGTTCTGTTTTAAATAGATGTATTAGTCTTCAATTGACTGGAAAGGTAGGTGTACTTGCCATCCAAACTTGACAATGTGCTTCTCCAGGAAATGACTAGGGAAAGAATTCCCTATTTCTCTAATCAAGCCTTAGCTTACATTCTGTGAGTGCAAAAATACATATTTTAGACAGAAATCTGAATGAACATAAAATATGGTACTTATTTGAAAACTAAATACTGAGGAGAACGTGCTGTAAATCCAAAGTCAAAAAAACCCTATTTATGCTGGAACAGCCACCTCTGGCTGGTATTTGGATACTTATTAACACCCCTTGCTTAGTTTTGTTTTGTACTTCTGCCAGTAATTGCTTCAAACTTAACTAATTTGCAGTTTTTGTAATTTTTTAGAGTGTTAATTAGCATGCCTCTTTCACAAGCTCTTGTTTTCCATTCGTTTTGATCAGATTGCATTTGGCAGCAGTGGAAAAAATAATTCTTTTTTTAATAGATTGGAAAACAATACAATTAAATCCATGTTTTAATTAGTTTTTAGCAATTGCTTTGGCTTTCAGGTTGGGAGTACTACTACGTGATTTATATCCTATTATGTTTCTAGGTATTACACTCCTAAAAATCTGATTTTTACTGATGAAAAAGGAATTGCAAGGCCTAATGGAAACCCTAGATAATAAGCATTTTCTCTTTCAGCTTTGTAAGGAACGCTCCATTAAAATTTCATAGCTTGATTTAACTTTTCTGTGATGAAATTTTTATCAGCTCTTGCTTAACTAAAGTTTATCTGCACTACGTAAGCTCTTGCTCATATTCCAGTATGAGAAAGGCAGCTGAACAATTGGGTATCCATATCTGGCTCCAGAAAACATAATCACCCATCAATTTTAATATATTGGGGAGGAAAAAAAGAAACCATTCTAGAAAGAGTGAATATTCAGTGGCGTATTACACAAAAATTGTACTTCCTTTAAAATATTCCAGTTTTTTATCTGTGTTTGCCCACATAAATTGGTTATTAAAGCAGTAACCACAGGGCAAAGTGTTGCAACTTGCTGGCGCTACAATGGCCTCTGCTTTTATAGCGCAGATGGATGAAATCATCATGGTCATGCTGCAATCAGAGATAAAATAATCATTTTGTAAATACTTAAAGTCTAGGGAAGGTTAAGCTTTGGTTTCAGTCTGCTGAGACAAACTCAGAGAGCTTTTGAGTTACGCTTTCTACCAACCCAGAAGGACAGAGCATGGGGTTTGTGCTCCCTCCTGCACGTTTCATCTCCCCTGGAGCCATGATATTGGGTGGTTTATGTTAAACAAAAGTGTATGAGGCAAGGGGAGAATCAGCAGTCCTTTGTGACACAGAGAGTTGCGTCGAAACCCAGGGTGTGATTTATTACTGTGCTGCCCAAGGGTTGCATCAGTAAGTGGTTTGTGAGTGTGGTGGTCTGCAAGGACAGGGAACCACGTCTGAAGCAGAGAATATTGGGGTAATGGAGTGAGTGAAAACTGCAGAGGTGGATAAAATACAGTGTCTTGTCTATGGCTGTTGTTGTCAGTGCAGGAAAGGGTTTACAGCTACTGCATTCATTATAGCTATTTCTGCATATTGAATTAAATACTCTTGAGAAGTGCAAGACCTGTTGATAACCACAGCTCTGAGCTGCTGCTTTTTTTTTGTCCTTCTGCCCAAGTGTAGTGAATTAAATGCCAAGGGACAGCGTTGTCTGTAGTGAGGTTTTCAGGAGCTGTGCATTTGTGATCATCATTCCCTGTCACAGCCACCACACAGGTAATTTTTCAATCAACACTTACTGAAGTACATTAAACTTCATTTTATACTCAGATGGGAGTACATTCAGACATCCCTAGCTGTACTGCTTGATTTCCAACTACTGTATATTCCTGTGAGTATTTATTTTAATACAAGCCACCACAGTTAATCCCAACACAATAAAGCTTTCTGGAGTATTAATTCTTTATGGTTTATTATATGGAGTTTTTACTGAGATACATTATGATCAAGAAATAATATCGAGGCTTTTTTTAAAGGCCTGGTTTTGGGAAGGATTTAGAACAGCCTTTGGGGCATGTAGCTCTCAAAGCTGAAGTCCATGGTCTTAAATTTCCAAAGACACTGGAAGAAACTTGGCTCATGCGAGTTCAGGTGCATACAAAACCTCATTAGTGCTGCAGGTGGTGTGGTGGTGCTCCACACAGGAGGGGGCACGAGGGGAATGACACAGAATGGAGCAACTGGGGTGTTCCCACTATGTCAGAAATGCACCAAATACAGATGTAGAAACTTTCAGTCCGTGGAATTAAATCTAGCACTGCAACGTGAGTCTTAGGAAGTTAGTCATCGTTTCACCCTCATGGGGTCACAGTGTAAGAGACAGCACCATGTGCTGAGATGTCTTTGTGGCGGGAATGAGGCTCACAGGACCTACAGTAAGCCAGTCAACACAAGTCAAAAATTGCAGTCAACACAAGTCAAAAATTGCAATTAATGTGTTTTCATCAGAGGAAGCCAGTCTCAACAAATGAACAGCAACACACCTATGTTGTCCAGGTAGCTTGGTATGAGAATGCAGTGTGTTTTGGAAGGATTCTGAGCAGTGTAACTCTTGCAGCAGCTTTTAATTACATCAGCTGGAGCAGCTGGATGTAGGTTGCTGCTTTCTGTGAATTCAGCTGGCCCTTGAGAATTACTTGAGATGTGAAGAGAAGCTGTCTGATTCAGGAATAAGTTCTCATTTCCAGAAATTGTAAGCAAATTTTGGAATGCTCACATCTGTCCTTTGGAAGTGGCCGTGCAGATAAACGCATCACTCAGAGCACACTTCAGATGCGATTACAGCGATGCGTATCTGGGGAAACACATGAAGACCCCAACAAAGGACAATTATATACGATTATATACTGCCCCAGTTGATTGACTGATGGCACATTTCATGAGTATACGTTTACAGCCCCTGCTTAAGAGCAAGCAAGCGTGCCCTTCTGCCATTTTGCAGTGTTGGAGTGGCCGGTGCCGCCTCGGGAAGCAGCTGCAGGAATTCATGGGAGTGGGTGGCTGGCAGGAGCAGGGCTGTGAGCTGTCAGAGCAGCTGTCTGTCCCACAGGACTGATCAAATTAATCAGTTGATAGGCAGTATCTGGCCGTGCTGAGAGGCAGCCACTCCTGGATCCGGCCCCGCTGCGTTCCTAGACCCGCAGGAGCCAGGGGGAATTGAGACTTCCCTGGTTTCTGGAGCTGGCAGAAACTTCTGCTGAGCACAAAGGCTCCAGAGGCTGCTGCCGGGGATGGCAGTGTGTTGTCCTTTGTGAAGAGTCTGTCCATTATATATGACATGATGGGGCAGAAGGGGTGGCTAGCTGAGCTGAAATGCTAAATTAAACATGATTTAGCAAAGGCTGTGGCGCGGGAGAAAACCAAGCAGCCTCGTGTTTGGGACAGGAGGTGTGGCTTTGGGTGTGGGATCACAGCTCCTTCATCACTGAAAGAATGGGTTTCAGGGATGCTGAAATCTCTCCTATACAGGGTGCAGAGTTAGAGCATCTCCGTAACGATGCTGGCCCATCAAGTTAGATACTGAAATAACTTTAGCTAGCTAACCCCATCTAAAGCATGTATTCAGACTGGCAGCTCTGTGCATGTTATGGAGTTAATGTAATTCATGGGGACTTCTAAAGAAGCTAAAGTTTTTTGTTTTGTTTCGCTGTTGTTGATTTTGGGGGGTTTTGGTCACCAGGTTTTTGATCTCAGTATTGGAACACTTGTGCATGTTCCAATGGTTTTCCTTCTAGGAGAGTTTCTCGTTTTTCTCTCCTGATTTCCTGCTAGTGCCATAGTGAACTAGAATATTGCGATTTTATTTATAGTTCTCTTTAGCTAGATAGATTTGACTGTTGGAACTTCAAAATGTTGTGATTTTGTGACATAGGAGGAAAGCATGTGCACATCAACAGAGATGTGCCTCGGGCTGTGTGGAAATGAAGGCTCTGATGTGCCCTAAAATATGCTTGGAGAAGGAAATGCCAATGTAATATCCCTTCCTAAGTGCTAAATATTTACCTTTAATTAAATACCACTGCTTGGCCAGCTGTGTTGAGCAGTACGAGCACAGGAGACAGAAGTTCATCAGGATTCCAGAACAAAGAGTGAATTTATTGCATTTGCTTTGACATTATTTTTTTTTTTTTTGGAGCTCACACTAAATCAGATTTGCAAATGAGCATAACAGAATGAAGGTAAAATAAAGGTTTTTGAAGTAAGCAGTTGCCTCTTATACCACCTGGTGCTGTTATGCTGACCAGAATGTCAGTTGAGACACTTAAGAGAAACCCCAAAACTGTAAAAAATAACGTTAAAAAAAGGTTTATGGGATGCACTTTCTGCCTTTTACTAATACTTCACGCTTTAGTAAATTGCCAAATACTGCAGCAGTTTCTCAAGAATTGTCTCTTCTTACTGCCACTAGGCTGATCAGTGTTTGCTATCAACAATAGAACTTTACTTCTTAATCCTAAGGCAATTTAATCCATTTCTTCAGGACTCACCATATTACTAGCACTTCTGAAATTTACAATAAAAATGCTTTCAGTTTAAAGTCAGAACATTATTTGAAAGGAAAAGCAGTCAGTTGTCACAGTTCAGGTGGGCTTAACTGTATATATTTCCACAAATCTGTTAAATTTGGCGGGTAGCCTTTAAAAAGCAGTATATTAACAAACCTCCTGCACATTTGGTGCTATTTTTTTGTCTTTTGCTACTGGTTTACTTTCCAGCCAGTCCTCACTGCTGTTTTCACTACCACAACTGTATTCCATTGGCACAAAGGTTTTCTGACTCATGGCCACTGTCCATCTCATTTTTTGTTGTCTTAAGGGGTCACCCATTTTTTCCAGAACTTCCACTTGGAGAGAAGTTCTGCACTGCAGCAGTGTAATTCTTTGTTTTCCTGATTCTCTTCCCTAGTCTGCCATCTTCAACTTCCAGAGTCTTCTGACTGTCATCCTGCTGCTCATATGTACCTGTGCCTACATCAGATCCTTGGCTCCCAGCTTACTGGACAAAAATAAAACCGGGTAAGTGGCCTGATCATTCCAAACATCCACAAGCTGTGTGTGGTTTCAACTGCAGCCTTTCAGCATCTCCAGATGAAGTGTGGGATAATGCAGATCCTGCTTTGAAAATTTTCGCTCTTTAAAGATAAAAATCTTAATTTTGTACCTCACAATAGAGTGCAATAAGGTATTGGCAAGCGCTTAGTTGCAATTTCTCTGAAAGAATTTATTAGCTTGCTAACCTTGCTAATACTGCATTATTAATCTTCTAGATTTGTAGCTTCGTTGTTAGATGCTTATTAGAGATACAGAAATAAGAGACAGAAATAAAACATTCTCCTACATGTGGGTATTGTTGCAGTGATTTATTTTTGATTCCTAGGGTGGGTAAGCAACCAGCAGAAACTGGCTTTTTGTTTGTTTTCAAGATAGGTGTTTTGCAGATTCAAGTTTGAAACAGAGCTTTAGCAATAATCTGTAACTAAAAAAAAAACCTAAAAATATTTTTTTAAAATAAGCAACACAGTCATCTTGTGTGGTCTGTTAACGTTATGGTTTTGTAGTCTCTAAAGTGAGGGAGTTTCTAGAAGAGTTTTTGAAAGCTTCTACAAACCTAACTTTTTTCTTTTTTTTTAATAATCCTATGGATGCTAGCTGTGGTCAGCAGAGCTGTGATTTAAATGTGGTGGGTTTTGAGTATTGGGCAGTTGCGACACAGAAGCCTTTGGGGCTGTCCTCAGAACTTCAGTAATGCTGTCACCTAGGGTTAATGCAAAGGAGGTGATATTTGTAGGAGGTACTTCTAGGTGGAAAAACAGACAGGCTTTTGGATGCTGAGTGTTTGACTTCTCCACTTTTTCCATTAGGCCATTTCCTGTTAAGTAAAATGTTCTTCCCTCGGTGTCTTCCATCACTTCTGCATTCAGATTCAAAAGTGTCCCGTTTTAAATGGACTGTTGTGACCAAGAACCCTGAGTGTTTGTCTTCTGAAAACCTTCATTGTAATTAACCTCTGGGGCTGCTGTTTTATTACCCAGTTTTTAATTTTAGCAGTGTAGTACACCCAAAGCATGCCAGCTCTTTTTTCCCTTAATTTGGAGTTCTAACATGAAAATACTTGTGTCCTTTTATATGAGGCCATGCAATTGCCCCTGACATGAGCGAGGTTTCTTTGGATGGAAGTAAAGATGGAAGAAAGGATGACTTCATGAAGGACAGGGAGTGGGGGGATGAGGGGAGTTTGGATGTCTGCTGGTGGAAGATAACACAATAGTCAATGAGGTATACACAGTAAGAAGTAAGAATGTTTATTTTACTGATTAAAATTTTAGTGCTGTTCTTGGCAAGGAGTATTTCCTTTAATCTGGAGCTACTCTGTTTATTCTTGAGGCAAATCTGTCTGGAGTACAATAGAACTCTCTTCATAAAACATTTCCAGAGGGTGCTGACACTGTGGAGGAGTTGGGTGTTTGATGTGTAGGTTTGTATTTATGTAGATGTAGGACATACCATTTTTTTTTGGTTTTTTATATATATATATATATTTAAAAATTTGTAGACTACTTTGTACTGGAGAATAAAAAAACCTAGGCCTGGAAGCAATGAAATTTGTTTCCTGTATGGTAGTTGTTTACATGGAGCTCATATGGTGCTCAACCCCTGTCCCTCCCTTCTAACCTATTCCATGCTCCAGTGGAAATGTCTGGACATGTGGGATAAAACAAATTCTAGTGATACTTCAGTTGACCACAGAGATGCTCTTAGCTCATCATTCCTGCTCCGAATTAAAGGCATAAAAATCTAGCAATAAAATACTAAAGTGATGGAGAGGAGGAATGTTGATATATTCACTGTATTTCTGAGTGAGTGGCAACTTTGCCGAGGATTTAGGTCTGTTGATAATAAGTGAAGAAACATACTTCTGTTGGTTGAGAGATGCCGTTGCACAGTGATGTCACCCATCCTCATAAGCCTGTATTTCCTCCCCCTCATTTCTGCCCAAGTGTGTCTTTCCCTACCAAGCCAAACAGAACCTTAAACCTTCATTTTCCCTGAACGTTTCCATGTGCTCAGTCTTGAGCAGCAGTGTTAAAGGCTGGGAAAGCAAGTGGAGATTTACTGTTTCATGCTAACTAGAGGAGAATGTGCACCACAACATAATTCTCTCCTCCCTGCTAACCAGAAAGATGTGTTAGCTGATGTGCAGCAGAGATCCCCTTTGATTTTCCATCAGCATTGCAGTGGGGATGTCTCACACTCCCTCCTGCAGTGGCACTGGGCTTCTCCTGGTGAACACATGGCATTTTAAAGCACACCCAGCCTTAGCAGTCGTCTAAGGCTCCACCAACTCCCCCTCAGCTTAAGAGGTTCCATTTATTTGAGTTTTCTGTTCTCCAGACAACCACCACCACTTTTCACGTGAACATTTGGGCTGTGGCTGTGGCTGTGCAAGCAGCAGGGGTCCCAGCCAGACCCTCACCTTCACCTGCATCCAGGCAAGGATGGAGCAGAACACAAAGGGCAGAGAAGGAATTTACACTGAGGAGTTGCTGCAGGAGGAGTTGTTTTGGAGCAGTTACTTAAGGCAGCATCACTTTTGTAATAAGCAAGCAGGTTTTGACTTGAAGAGGTTCTTGTTAGGCACCTGGGATGAGCACTGATAGAAAAACTAGGGGAGCAGGAGGTCTGCACAGGCTTTTCCTGCAGTGGGAGCTCCCCAGTTCTTCCAGAGGGTATATCACCAGAAGGTCCAGAATTCAACCTGCTTTTGCTCAGCAGCAGGTTGTGTTACCTGGCACATCAGGTAGGAAAATTTCTGTTTTCACCAAGGGGGCTTTGTAGGGCAGTGTGCAGCAGTGGCTTCACATTAGTCAAGAAATCCCTGAGAAGACATGAAAATACCCTTGCTGGGATTCTGAGGCAAATTCAACAGACTTCCAGGCTGCCTGAGGGGGTTAATACCCTTTTTCCCATGCAAGATTCTTCAAAAGTATATGAACAGAAGAGTAATGTTTTATTTCTTCAAGCTCCTGGGCAAGCTTTTGAGAGATGAGAACCCTTTTCTCAATATGAGAAGCAGGGTTGTGGAAGTTTTCCTGTTGGTTTTGCAGTGTGCAGTCTGTAAATTCTAATTTTACAGAGAGTGAACATCAGTTTTGAGAACCTGAGGTGCTATCAATGGAGCACTTCAGGGCTGTGTATTTTGCTCTATGAGATTTACACATGAATGCCTTTCTACCTGCACACATCTTCAAAAAGTGCATAGATGTCTTCAGGTTACTTTATTGTATGACCTCTTAGCCTGGAAAAGTGTGGTGGTCTGTGTGCAGGGATCATTACTTCTGCTTGTGGAGCCACATAAAAGGAGAAAGAATAGAGCTTTGGCTGTACAGAAATACAGTCAAACCCAAATATGTATGTATGTGTGTATATATATATTTTGCTTGAGGTAAAACTAAAATCAAAAGCACAGATGAAAATGCTTTCTAAAAACTAACATTTTTCTGAAAATGTTTTCTAAAAGTGGCAATGGAAGTGTTGTTCATGATGTATTGGTCAGCAAGGAGTACCTAAGTCAAAAAGCATTTCACTTTGAGTTTGAACACCTCATTCACTTGCTGCCACACCTGGTTTTCACCTGCCCAGCACTAAATCTTTGTCCCAGAAATAGAGGAGGCTGCTAAATGGGCAGAGAGATGCTAAGTAAACCCAGACCGTAAAAGAGGACATAAAGTGCAAGGAACAGAGAAATAAAAGTGCATGATACGTTGACTGCTCAAGCATGCAGGAGCAAGTGGCCCAAGCCTACCTGTCTGCATTTAAATGTGTTAGAAGTAAGCAACTTTCAGAGCCCAAAAAGGGGTAAAGAGAGACAACCAAACCTTTGTGGGTCTGAGTTCAGAACATTATTTTGGGGGATGTATCTACTACCTGCTTGATGGCAGTTCTCTAAGTGCTTCCCCACAGTGTTCTGTGCCATGCTATGAAGGAAACCTTCCTGCAGACAAGCTCTGAAGAGCTGAAATCTGTCTTCCTGCACAGGGACAACTCAGTATTGTTCCCTTTGTCTTCCTCAGATCATAAAAGCAGTCCCTACTCCTCTGAGGCGGGGGTCAGTATGAGATTGTTTTAGTTACACAGAGAAATTGTAGGTTTGTGACATGCCTTTGGGTGTTCCTTGTGTTGAATTCTGCTCTTCCCTGTTGCTGTTTCACTTGTGAGAGGTGATGTCCTGGGCAAGCAGCACAGGAGAGACTTGAGCAGGATAAACATTGGTAAAGGAATAAGAAAGAGCCAGAGGAATTGGGAAGATATTTTTCTTCACAGAATTTTCTGTCTGGGGTACTTTATTGTAGATAAATACAGGGTTCTGATAAACTCTTTAGATCTGGAAGACGGGATGGGTTAAATGCATCTTTGCATGCAAAAAGACTCCTGCTAGACTTAAAATTTGCCACTTCTGTAATTCATTGGGTTCTGTACCCTTATGTGCAGGTATCTGCTGTTTTCTGGTGTTCAGAAAAGAGTCAAGTTGACAAATTACTGTCAATTCAGATTGTTTTAATATAAAAGAAAGAAAATCAGTTGATGTGGATGTATTAAACCAAGAGCCTAACGAATTTATTTTATCTTTACAGATTGTTGGGGATATTCTGGAAATGCGCCAGGATTGGTAATTCCTTTTTCTCTTTCAAAATCCTTAAGATCAGTCCTATTTCTAACATAATTTATTAGGATAATATTGCCATGTAGCAATGAAAACCATACACATCCTTTTTCTTCAGAAATGCAGGTTTGAAATAGTGGGGCAGGATATTGCTTTCATAGATTAGCATCATGGAAATCCTGCATCTTCTCATGTCAGTTCATGTGTCTGGTGTTATATTTTCAAAAGTCTTTTGTACTTTTTGCCACAATTAAGGGTGCGTTTCTAACATGCAGAGAAATCAGTGATTTCTTATAAACTGCAGTCCATTTGAAATTGCAATGGACTGTTGGAAAAAAGCCAGATATTTACCTCATAGTAGTAAAAGAATATGGAGTTCATAATGCATTAAGGTTCTGTTTTAAGCATAAATGTGGTTTTTTTCCCTCTCCTTTCTTTACTCAGCTTCTGTGCGCTTTTGAATTACACAAAGCTGTTCGTTTCAAGTGACATCTGCACACAGGCTGATCAGCTCTATCTGATTCTTGACATTTTCCCATAACATTGGTTTTATATTTATTTTAATCCTTATCCTGAATTTATTTTGAGAAGGAAATTGGAATATGCAACAGAAGTTTAGTCTTAACATTAAGGTATATCCACGATTTAGGGAAAAAAACCAAAAAACTACAAACCCGTCATCAGTGTTCAAATTGTGTTGTTAATTCAGAGCAGAAACTTTGAACTTGTAATTCTAGATCTTCCTACTTGTCACTGAACCTAAAGAAAGCCTGTATGATTCCCTTTCTGCATTCCCAGGCAGAACATTTTACAGGATGTCAAAAAAGCATTGACACAAAAAAAGTGAAGACCGGTTGTTAAAATGATTGCAGATATTGTCCTACTTAGATAATAGACCTAGCAGAACCAATTTTAGTGCTGTAATTGAAAGATACTGGGAAGGTGGCAGCTGTCAAAAAAGAATTTTCAGCTAAAGCAGTGAAAACAAATTTTGAAATTTAGCTGCATTAGGGTTTGTTCAGAGTTGAAGAGAATACTTCACTTAACCTTGCCTTTGCCATCTTCTTTGTAGTTAATTAAGTTCAAGGATATTTTTTTTCAATTAGCTATGTTTCTTTTGCAATTGCCATCTAGAGTGGACTACTTTGACTTTCTTTTAGAGTAAGAAGTGAAAATGAGCTTTGGAGATGATGCCTATAATTTTACGTGTGTTAGCCATAAAGGCAAGTAGAAAGTGTAGGTTTCAAAAATGAAAATGTCTACTGGCTTCCTTTACATTTCACATCCCTGGTATGTTTAAACAACCTTTTCACATGTACATAAGATCTTAATCACAGGCAAGTGGTTACATATTTACAAAGTTGTGCAAAATAATGTTTAATCCTGCCACATGGTGATTTTTCTTTTAAGAAAATTAAGAGCAGAAAAGCATAACCCATATGAAAATTGTAATACCCTGAACCGTAGGAGTTGGACTTCCTCAAAATTTATTTTAAACAGATGTGAAACTGCAGACATTAATTCGTTCAGTTATTTGAAGTTTAATTAAATATATGGCAGATCATGACAGCATCTTGTAATGTTACCGGGCAGTCAGTCCTGTGTATGGGAGGTGTCACTGCAAGTATTTCATTTTCCTTTTACTGTGGAAAGTTTGTTCCCTCTGTGTTTAAAGGTCCTGCTGGTAAAAGAAAATACTTTTTTTTTTTTTTTTCTTAAAAATTGCACCATGCTAGACTTGGGAGCCTTGGTGGGTTTTCTTCTTTAATGTTTCTCTGAAAACCGTATCCCTGATAAGGTGGTTTGTAAAGACAAAAGACCTCACACAGCAGAGGGAAATTGAACTTTGCTTAAAGCAAACAGCCCCTGTTTGTCTAAAAAGAGGGATCTTCTCACCTTAAAGACACATTTCAGTATTAATACTCCCTGGCAGTTCTGTGGGCTGGAGGTACCATCCACTGTTGGTCTCTCCAAGGAGAATTCAGTGGAACCATGAAGAATAAAGTTTTAAGTGTAAAAACGTCTTGCTAATTAATGGAGGAAGTGCTCATGTAAGTAGGTGCCAGTCTAATTCAAAGACGTTCCCCTGGTTGGTTCACAGTTCCCCATCTGAGAATCTTTATCTGCTTGGTGAAAAAGAGACTTCTGTAGCATTCTGTACTGGACCAAATGGGTGGGAATAGATCTCTCATAATTGTTTTTGCCACCAGATGAAAGTCTTTTGATGGAGTAAACCTAACTTTCATCCACAGTTTGCCCTGGGAACTGTGACACCAATTTGAAAGAGTCAGAAAATAGAGGTGTCTGTGCAGCTTCTGTGATCTGCTGACCAATTTTATCACAGAAATGTGTGGACCAGACTTACTCCACATGTTAACAATGTTATGTCTTCTTAGCAAAGCAGAAAAAGACAGGCATCTGTCCCTGTCTGGGCAGTTTTGAGCTCACAGCTCTGGCTGCTGCATGACACCCTGCTCAGAAGATTCACACTGCAGGTGACGGGTACCCGGCCCAGACAGCACCAGCTGCACATCAGCTGACACAGAACAGCTCCTGAGCAGCCACAGAGGAGCAGAGCCAGGAAAAATGGGTTGTTCTGGGCAACATTCCACTGCCTGCCCCCTGACTCTGGCACTAGGAGGTAGCAGCAACATAAAACTGCACCTCAGAAAAGGTGGTTTGTTGTGAGATAGAAGCCCTTGCATGGTTTTACAGAGACCCAGAATCACCCATTCCCACCCCAGCCGTGGCAAGGACACATCCCAGTGTCCCAGGAGCTGCCAGCCCCAGTGTCCAGCCTGGCCTTGGGCACTGCCAGGGATCCAGGGGCAGCCCCAGCTGCTCTGGGCACCCTGTGCCAGGGCCTGCCCACCCTGCCAGGGAACAATTCCTGCCCAAGATCCCACCTGTCCCCACCCTCCTTCAGCCTAAGGCCATTCCCCCTTGTCCTGGCCCTCCATGCCCTTGTTCACAAGTCCCTCTCTTAATGTAAAGAGCCTCAACTCTGTTTTTATATAGCAAAATAACCTGTCCTACATTTGAGTTTCCCCACTGCCCACGCATGTTCTGTGTGAATACAGAGCTGTACTTGTGTCTGCCTTTCTCCAGATAGAAATGTTGAATATCACTTTGCACTGTGGCAGCATTGGATGAGCAGCAGGTGGGTCTGTTTGGCCATCTCTGAATTTTTGTTTCTTCTGTGTTCTCTCCCCTCCTGCCAGGTGAGCGGAAGAGCCCCTACGTGGCCGTGTGCTGTGTGGTGATGGCCTTCAGCATCCTGTTCATGCAGTAGCAGCTGGAGAGAGTCCCCAAGTACCCAGCAGCAGATCTTGTGTCAGGAAAGGATGGGAAGCCTCACCACATCTCCTCTCACACGATGGATAGCCTGTCTCCTGGCAGACACCCCTGCAGATGGACCAGCATTAGTGATCATAACCCAGATGAGACGTGTTTGTTAATGCCAGGTCAGCACTGACACTCCTGCTGTAACTCCTGGAAGGGTGTCTGCTGCGTGTCTGATTTTCAGGGGAGCTTTGTTTGTTTTGTTTGGCTTTTTTTTTTACACCATGGTGTTGAAAAGGCTTGCTGTTTTTAATTCTTTAAAATTTCTTGTCCAGTAGACCTGTTGAATGAAACCTTAAAATGGTAAATCAGTCACAGCAATAAGACCACCTTTGAAGAATAAGGAGCATTTTGACTCTAGGGGATGTTTATCAAAGTATTTTTTAGTTCTTGCTGCCTGAACAATTCCTCTCAATTTGTAAATGATGGCTCTGCTCTCATCCTAAAAGTATGACCTCTGACCTAAGTTACACTCAGCTATTTGTTTCTAAACTTGTAATTCTCAAATAATCTATCAATATCTCTGTTGTTAAGATGTGAAATAAAGGCAGGGACCATAATTGTGGTGATGTCTTATTAGTTGCTGTGAAGGCACAGATGTGGCATCTGAAACACCTGGACTTGCTCTCTGTAAAATACCACATATACTCATTTCTAGCATTTTAGGTCTCTCAGGTATGTAATTTCCCAGCTTCTTCCAAAATGTTGCAGAAAGGATTCAAAAGGCTCTGCTGTTGTTGCATGTATGGAAAGGTTTCTAAATTAGCAGAATTAAGTTGGCTGCAGATAAGGAAGTTGCATGTCATAATATAAAGGTTGAAGCAACTAAACTACACTCACCAGTAGTAAAAATTATATTACTTTTAATGATACCTTCCATTAGCACTTATTTCTTAGTTTTGCACACTCAGTAATCTAGTGACTTCTTCAGGAATGCCTGACAGGTGTGTGTTACATCAGACAACTGTGTGACTTCATCCTGGCCCATTTGGGAGAGTTGTCTGTTTGCAGTATTTGTTGTTCTGGAAAGGCTTGTGATCAGAAGGAACAAAGCTAAAAAGTAAAACATTGAAAGGTATGTTAACTGTTGTCATTCTTGTTTGAAAACCTTATTTTCATCAATCCAAATTATCCTGCAGCTAGGAAAAAAAGTGGTTTTGAGTTATGACCTTTGTGATGTCTCACATGTATCTGCAAATCTAAATCACCATCAGAAATAGCCATCCAAAACTTTTCTAATCTGGGTTCAGGAAAAACAGATTTCTCTAGTTTGGGCCAAATAAATTCCCGTGGCTGTGAGCCAGAGCAGTGCAGGGCTGTAGGACTGTAACCATGCTGTGCACACACAGAAGCCTGGGACTGGGCAGGACACGTGGGGAGTGCAGAATTGTTCCTGTAACTTCAAAAGTGGCTGCTGCTCCAAACCGGACATCAGAGCAACTCAGATTTGGATTTCAAAAGAGCTGCTCCTCAACAGAGGGAAGGGAGATTCCTGAGGAGTCTTGGGTTTTGTCTGTCAGGTGTATACATGCTCAAAATATGCAGAGAATCATCTGGTAACTTTCTATGTTGAGCAGTTACATTCTTGTCATTACTTCTTTTAATAAATAATGGCACTTTTATGATATTCAGACATTTCCTAGTCATCCAAGCTGTTCTGATTACCATATGAATTCTTAATAATCTCTGGGGTTTAGCTGCAAGTAGGAATACCAGTGAAAGAACCCAATGAAATTTTTTGTTGTGGGTGTCTGAAAACTACTAACATGGAGAAACTGGGTTGCAAAAACCTCCTCTGTTAAGGTTTTATCATCTAAGAAGGTCAGACAGCCCTCTTCCTGTTTGTTATTTGTTGTTCAGACTTAATTTGTTAGATGGCAGCTCATCCTTTTGGCCTAGAGGCAGGTGATGGATACTTCCTAGTTGGGATTTTTTTTTTGTTTGTTTCTATTTTTATTTTCCCCCCTAAACTACATTTTTGGGCTATTCAGTGTGTGCTAGCTGCATGGCTGTTCAACAAAACTATCAGGAAACAAGATCTTTAAACTGACAAACAGCAGTTGTTTTAAAATGTCTGCTTCAGGCAGGTGTTTGCCTCAGGAGCAGTGCTGTGCTTTTCAGGATCTTGGCTTTGAAGAGATTGATACCTCATCTAAGATCTATAGGAAATACTGGTTTCCCAAGTTAGAATCTTAAAATCTGTTTTGCTTTCTTGGCTTTCTTTTTGCCATGCAAAAGAGTTTTCACCCACAGCAGGTCTGAGCACACCTTTCCCTGTCTGAAAGGGACAGTGATAAATCTGACTGAAGGTGGTGGTGTGCCTGCTGCTGGGGAAGGGTATTTCCACACTGGGACTGCATCCTTTTTTTTCCTAAACAGCATCATGGATGTTGTTGATGCCCAAGCATCTGAAACCACAAGATGCTGCCCTTGGAATACTCAGAGTATTTTATACCCTTGCATGTACTTGGATATGGATTAATACTATATTAATTTCCATCCACATCTGTGCTTTAAATGACCTCAAATTCAAAGCAGGGATTTAGGAAGGCTGAATTGAGCAGCAGTAATTGCCATGTTGGGAAATGAGTAAAGCATGAGTAAGAGATGGGATCACTGTGAAGGTCTGATGTTCTGGAGGGACTGATAAGCAGCTGGACAGACGTGGCTGGTGGAGGAGGAGAGACAAAGTGGAGTCCAAGGATGACAGGAAGATTTCCTGTTCTTGGAACAATGTCCTTGTTCTGTGAGTGCCCTTTCTACCTCAGTAACCGCAGCAGTGAGCAGTGGAAATACACTGTCACCAAGAGGTGAAGCTGCACTGTGATGGAGGGAATAAATGCTCTGTTAGGGCTCTGAGGCTTTTATTATTTCAGTTTGTCTCCAGTTCTGTCCCACTGGCATCAGGGGCAGAGCCCACTCTCTTATGCCTAGGAAGTCTCTCCATGACTGAGTCATTCCTCCCCCCTTCTCCCTCTCATAATCATCTTCCAGAGAAAAGAAAGCAAAACCAACGTCTTCCTAATGATTTAAAATGCTGAGCTTGGTGGAACCCACCAGAAGCCAGGAAAGTGTGATCTAAACCTGCTTCTCATACTCAACAGAAACTTCACATTATCTAATCCAAACATTCCCAGCAAAGAAAGGTTTTCCAGCCAGGTTTCTCTTCCCTCTCTTTTCTCTTGTTTTACCTGAGCATTATTACTCATTCCAGACATGTTTGGGGAGTGCTCCCAGCATCCATCACAAGGCTCATGTAGTTCCACATGTATTTGATGGCACTTGGCTGCCTAGAGAAGCAGGGGGAGATTGATCTACACACTGAAAAACAGGTTTTGAACATGAGGCCTGAATTGTTTATCTGGCTGTTTTATAAATAGCACCTCTTTTCATGATACCCCTAGGCCAAAAGGCAAAAGGAGGTGTAGTCATTCTGCAGGATCTAATAGTTGGGGAAAATCCTCCCCAGGTGCAGCATGACCTGTGTCACACAGCTAACCTGTACTCGGTGTTTTTTGACTGCCATTTCAAGCCTGAGGGGCTTGTGTGGCCAAAGGCACAGCTGTGTTTTTCAGTCAGTATCTGATGGATATAATCCATCTCCAGAGCCTGAATTCCACGAGCTGTCCCCTGTCTCACATGGCACTCAAGCATGAGCTGTCTCTTCACAGGGTACCCTTCTCTTTGGCTGTGTGACGGGTGGAGCCCAGGCTCCTCTGATGAAACATCAGCCAAGCTCAAGCTTCAGAGACCTCAGAAATAAAATCACCTATGGCACTGCAGCTGCCTTATCTCTTCCTGCTTCGCCAGCTGAAGCAGCAAGTGCAGCTGCAGGAAGGTTGTCCAGCTCTCCCTGAATCTGAGTGAAAAAGACCTTGAGAAGAGTGTGTTACTAACTCATGTAATCCTCACTGGTGTGGAAGGGAGATGCCAAAATTTCCTCAAGGACCTGGGTATAAACATTGCCAGGGACACAACTGCTGCTGCCAGCTCCTGGGACATCAGGAGGGGAGATAATTACGTAATTAAGGAGTGAGAAAGTTCTTTGCTGGCCTGTCACATTCAGAATTTATTCTGTGACAGCATCTTGTCATTTATGTTGTTGGAAAGGGCTCTTGGGAAGCTGTGCCACAGGAAAAGAGGTTTTCCCTCCAGCCCAGCTCTCAGTGAGTGGGAAGCAGGCAGTGCCCATCCCCAGCTGCCACATTTCAATAGATGGCAAATTTTTGTGCTTCAGCTGAGGACCAGCCCTCCAGTTTGTACAGGCACAATTGAGCTCTATAATCTCTTTTTCAAAATAACACAGATAATGTAAACACACTACCCTGGGCTCCCTGACACCCTCTGCATCACCTGTTTACATAGAGGAGCCTGTCACATCACTGACACCACATAACAACACTTGCCTTTGACAAACTCAGTGGTTAAAATACTGTCTTCTACCCCAAAGGATGACTAGGAGGTTTTAAAAGGGTAAAATTTTATAATTACATATATTATATTATAAATATATCATTAAATAATTTATTTATTCCTGGGGGAAAAACAAAAAAATGGAGGGGGGTTTGCTTGTTTTAAAACACAAAATACTTGTTTAAAGTGAAGAAGTCAAGTCAGGTCAAAATATAAATGTACCCTTTTCAATTCTAAAATCTCCACAGCTGGTCGTTCCCACATGCAAAAACTTAAATAACCTTTCAGAGCTGTAGTAGGGCTAACGAAAACGCCAAGCAAATGATAGATGTATTTGGACACTTGGATGTATAAATGTCACACCCAGTGGAATTAAGAGGAAATAAATAGTAATTTGACAGCATTGGCAAGCAGTGCTTTTGACTGTGTAGCACCACCAGCATATTTTACATGTGTATCACAGTCGTGAATAAGCCAGCCCAGACACACATTCACAGACCAGTTTTGATTTCCTATTAAGCTACATGCTCATTTTCTTTCCCCCACCCTTTCCAGCTAATAAAGAGCCAAGGGAACGCACTGATCCTTGTCTCTTCGGAACAAATTACCTCCAAATTCTCACAATTGATTCACACAGGCTGGTAAAACTCCAGGAGACAGGGGGAGGGGAAAAAAATCCCTTCCAAGTGATAAGGCATTCTTGACATTTGAATTGTGTGTCATTTACTAAGGACATCAAACCACGATACCAAAGACAGCACTTGAAATTATCATCATCACTGGAGACCTGGGGCTGGGGTTCCCTGCTCCAGTTTCTTTTTGAGGACAGAGAGTCAGTGAGTTCTCCCCCCACCTCTGCCCGGCACAGAACGTGCTTCTGCCTGCCCAGGGACACATTCTGACATCAATCAGATCACTTAATAATACCCCTCCTGCACACACCGGAGGCACAGAGAAGATTTCCATCTCTGAATTCACCCTGGCTTCTGGAAGTAATAAAAATTGTTTCCTCCTTCTCATGAGGAAGAGCAAATCCTTTGAAATGCATCTGCTTTCAGGTCATAGCTTGGTTGGTTGGTTTGGCCACCTCCACATTCATATAATCACAGAATGGTTTGGGTTGGAATGGACCTTAAAGTCCATCCTGTTCCATGGGCAGGGCCAGTTTCCAGTGTCCCAGGAGCTGCCAGCCCCAATGTCCAGCCTGGCCTTGGGCACTGCCAGGGATCCAGGGGCAGCCCCAGCTGCTCTGGGCACCCTGTGCCAGGGCCTGCCCACCCTGCCAGGGAACAATTGCTGCCCAAGATCCCATCCAGCCCTGCCCTCTGCCACTGGCAGCCATTCCCTGGCTCCTGGCCCTGCAGCCCTTGGCAATTGCCTCTCTCCTTCCTTCTTGCAGGCTCCCTTCAGGCACTGGAAGTAACATATTGATTGTACATCTCCCAGTCTCTTCAGGGAAAGCAGAAGGGTGCCATCCCTGTTCCACCCAAATCCTCCCCTGGAAGAGTTCCACCCCTAACACCATCCCTGTGCCAGGCAGCAGCACAGAGCATCACCTGCCAGGGCTGGAGGGGCTGCCCAGGCCACGGATTTGGGCCAGGAAGAGTGAAATCCACTCAAGACAGCGCTGGGCCAGCGCAGACACACAGCAGCAAGCTCCAGAGCTTAGCAGCAGTCATACTTGGACTTTCCTTGTATCCCTCTAAATCCAGCTCCAGAAGCTGCATTAGAGGATCTGATCCTTGGAAGTGTCCGAGCAATTTCTGTTGAAGTCCCTCCTGTGTTTAAACAGATTGCAGATTTTTACATTTTTTTTTAATGAAAAATTCAATCCCGAGAATTTTGAAGATAGAATAATTCCGTCTGAAAACACTCCTGCTTCGAGCATACCATTCTATTGATGGGGAAACTGGCAGAGAGACAATTAGAGACCTCATCAAAGCAAGTGGAGTTTCCAGCAGATGGGTTTGCTGTTAAGCAATTCCACGGCCCCATTAGGAATCCTGAGGCATCTTTACTTGAAGCTTTCAGGAATCAGAGGAAAAAAAATCCGCACCGAGTTACCTGCGATCTTACTTCATTTTAGGAGGTCGCCTGGGTTCTTTTGCAGCCCTGAATTCACGCGGTTAAACACCAGACCATGTCTGTTTCCAGGGAACCTGCTGTGCTTCCAGCCACCTCACCTGTGCCCTGCTGCCTGCAGGTGTTTGGGCAGCTCAG